GGAGAGAGAGCACGAGAGGGGGGAGGGTCAGAGGGAGAAGCAGACTCCCTGCTGAGCAGGGAGCCCGATGTGGGACTCGATCCTGGGACCCCAGGATCATGACCTGAGCCGAAGGCAGTCGCTTAACCAACTGAGCCACCCAGGCGCCCGGAAGAGAGAGAATCTTAAGCAGACTCCACTCTGAGGGCAGAGCCCGATGTGGGGCTTGATCCCACAACCCTGAGATCATGACCTGAGCTGAAATCAGGAGTCCAGTGCTTAACCGACTGAGCCACCCATGCACCCCTATTTTAAAATTTTTTTTAGATTGACAGTTTCAATGATTAGCTCAATGCCACACAGCTAGAGTTGGTTAGAATTCAAACCCAGATTTTCTGACTCCCAGTTCATCGTTCTGAAGAAGTTGGAAATCAAGATTTGAAAAGTAAATTGGAATTTATCTTGCAGGTTGCTGGAAAAAAATCACCGAGGGTCTTTGAAGCAGTGAGTGACTTGAGACAATGATCTCAGTGTAGTTTTAATCTGAATCTCTGATTACTAGTGAGGTTGAACATCTTTTCATGTTTGTTGCCTGTTTCCCATTTCTTCTTCCCTCAAATTGTTATTCATGTCCTGGATAAATAGATAATTTTTCTGTTGGGATTGGTTGGTATTTTACTTATTAATTTAAATGATGAGAAAAGGTTCCCGATTCTGATACTTTATTGGTTGGAAATATCTTCTCCCTTGGGGCACATGGGTGGCTCAGTCAGTTAAGTGTCTGCCTTCCGCTGAGGTCATGATCCCAGAGTCCTGGGACCGAGTCCCATGTTGGGCTCCCTGCTCAGTGGGAAGTCTGCTTCTCCCTCTGACCCTCCCCCCTCTCGTTCTCTCTCTTTCATTCTCTCTCTCAAATAAATAAATAAAATCTTTAAAAATATGTATCTTCTCCCAGTTTCTTGCTTATCTGCCTTTTCTTTATTTTAAAATTTTGATCATCAGGGAAATGTGTACTGGAGAGTGGGGGAAACTAATGGGTTTGCCACAAGAAGAGTCTTTAGTTTGCTTTGACCTTGTGTGATTGGGAAGCAGTGGATCGATGAGGATGGGATTCGAAGGCGAATCACATGGTTTGGAGATTCATTTATCAGTCGTTTGTTTATTGATTACATTTATTGGCCACGATGTGCTAGACCATGTGATAAACAGAGAGTTCCGAATAGATGTTGCCTGATTTTGAGGGACTTTTACTTTGATGGCGAAACAAGATGTGTAAAGGAATGCAAGTAACATAGTATGTGCTCAAGGAACTGTGGCACAAGATCAGCTGTTCATCAAAGGGGAAGGAGGCATTGCTTTTGAGTAAATTGGGAGTCGTTTACAGAAGAACAAGTCTGTAAGTTGAGGAGAGCAAGGACTGTGGGTATTTTTGCTCACCATTTTATTCCCAGCAGTCAGCAGAGTGCCTGACAAATAGGAAGTGCCCAAATATTTGTTTCATGATTGAATGATATTAGCACGCATGGGCAAAAACCATTTATAGGAACTTAACACAATGTGTTTAGTTCATTACTCCTACACCACCCCTGGGCAGCTCGGAGAAAGATAGATCAGCATTTCAGACCTTAGCTTGCATTTCCACAGCAAGGGAGCACAGCCTTTTCCAGAAGGACACACGACGTGCTCCCTTATCTTACCGTTGTTAACAGAGCAGTCACCAAGACCTTGGCTTCACTCGGGCAAAGCTGGGTTTGACTCTCCTGTCAGTTACTTACTGGTTATATGACTTGATTTCCCTCATCTGTGAAACAAGACTCACAGTGGTGTCTACCGTACTGGGTCATTGTAGGACCGAATAAGCATAGCATGTGAAACACTGAGCCCATGGTAGGTTCTGGAAACATTCCCTATGCCTCTGCTCTTGACGTAACACGAAAACAGATGGAAAGTGTGATTGCCTTTAGATTTGATGACTTTGTCTGTGGGGTCTAACAGGCATATTCTCCATCTCCTTCCTCACAGATTCAGAGACATACTGTGTGTTTCAAGACAAGAAGTACAGAGTGGGCGAGAGATGGCATCCTTACCTGGAACCTTATGGGTTGGTTTACTGTGTCAACTGCATCTGCTCAGAGGTACAATGTGACACCCAGTTTGCCCAGATGGCTGGGAAGCAGGGGTGGTGAAAGCCTAAGAGAAGACAGGAAGCAGCTTGTCAGGAGAAATAAATGTCTCCTGCCTCTTTCCTCTTGTTGCCGTTTGGCTTGATTTTTTGGTGGGATCTCTAAGTATTTGCTATGGACAGATATTTATGGTCTCCTAGCCAAAGGATATGGGCCATGGTAGGAGAAGGTAGAATAGTTTGATAGTGGGAGTAGGGGAACAGAGCTCAAAGTAATGCGTGGATTACGGACAGAATCGTTTTTGAAGATCATTTTCAAGGCTGGCCTTTAGAGAAGAGATTAGGACAGATCATACAGCGGTTGATCGGGAGAGCGTATTTGATGTCTGGGCCAGTAGCGGTAATTAGGATTGAGGCTGCAGAACCTTGGCCTGACCTGGTAACCATTACAGTTCTCTTGGCTTGGCCTTGACTCCTGACCAGACATTCAGAGGGGTGTTTGGACACCTTAAATGCCATCTTTGCAATAGGCAAAGCAGGTACTCTCATCTTCTTTCCGTGGCCTTGACCCAGGACCACAGCTGTGTTCCATCTTTCTGAATAAGCCTCTACTGTCTTATACTAGGCCTGGGCTTTTCAAGCTCTGCTCTGTTGACATTCAGGGACAGATTATTCCTTGTTGTGGGGGCTGTCCTGTATACTGTAGGATGTTGACCAGCATCCCTGGCCTCGACCCACTAGACACCAATAGCACCAGTTCCAGTTGTGACAACCGAAAAATGACCCGAGACGTGGTCCAGGTTGCTTGGGGAGCAAAACGACCCCCGGTGGAGAACCATTTGGGTAAGGAGGCCTCGTACCAGGACTTGAGAATGGAGAACTCCGAGCACATGGAAAGAATTTTCAAGACCAGCCTCTCGCTTGAGACCTCGTGGAAGAACTTGTAGTTCCTCCTTAGTGCCTGGGGTAGTAGAGAAGCAGTCACTCGCCAGCCAGATTCTTTTGCCATTTAAGTAGAAATTGGGCTTTTAGAATTCTAAGCATGCGGAAACCTAACCTTGAGGCAGTAGGAAGTCATGTTAAGAGGCTACTGGGCTCTGGAGTCAAGACAGACCATGTTTCCTACCCTGGCTCTGCCACCTGTAAGCTGCGTTACATTGGACAAGTTACCTGAACTCTCTGAGATCCCTTCAGCTTCTTTTTCTTTAAAATGGGATAATGATACTGTGTATGTCATGGGATTGTGGGAAGGATTAAATTCACTAATAGGTTTCAGTCACCTAAAACTGTGCTCGGTCACAGCCAACATTCAAGAGATGTTAACTGCTGTCAGCGCTCTCATCATCGCTGTCGTTATGGTTATTATTTTTATTCGTCTGTTAACTCTAGAACAGAATTCAGTTTAAGGCATTAAGGAGGCATTGGTGTAGGCCTCAGCCCGAAGGAGTGGTTTCTGATGTGCTTTGGTGATTTCACTTCAAGATGATACCACCTGGCTCTGAGGAGCGTGACCCAGAAGGAGGCTCTGTGGTGTTTCCAAACGCAACACTCCAAAAACGTATTCTAGAAAGTCCATGAGAAAAGAAAGAGGTTTATGGTAGGGTGATTCAGATTTGGGTAAAAGAAGCCTGCCTCTTTAAATGGCCAGGGCAGGTATTAAGTAGAGCATCTGGGTACTGATTAGCTTCCAAACCTCCTGGTATGACAGGATTGTGTCAGATCCTTGACGCAACACATTGGGAATGGACAGCTAACCCTTGGGGGCTGAGCTTTGCCGTCTGCAGGGCAGTGAAAATGTTAATATGACCCCAGTGCCGACAGCTCCTAGTGCTAGGCATCTTCTCTTTCCCCGTCCTCTTTGTTACCCTCTTCCCCCACAGGAGCGTGATAGATACAAGTCACCCTTGCTTGGAATGAATTATGGATGGAAATGCTAATGCAAAATTGATTTCCAAAGGCTTCCTTTGATCTAACAATGGTTGAGAGCTGTCGGAGCTAGGGGTCCTGTAACTGTAAGTCGGGCAGGGACCCAGTCACCCCCGCCCAGGCATGCTAGGGAATCAGCTCAATTCCAAAGCTTAGCTTGTTTTCAGAAAGCTTATGACTGAAACAGGAAGTGAGGAGAGAAGGTCCCCCAGCCTGCTGGTCCAAGGCAGAGTTACATGGAATCCAGGACCCATGTGCCAGCGATGTCTCCTTGCCCAGGGGTGGCTAGCTGCTCAGGGGACCCATCGCTCATTATCCCTTCCCTCCCGTGGCATTGGGCAGGTGATCCTGTAATTAGACCAGGCTCCTGTCGATGTGAGCTGGAGCCGGAAATGGTGGAAACACCACAGAGGCAGGCCAGGAGGAGCCTTCCACAGTTGGCGGGAGGCTTTGAAAACCAGAGCAAGAGTGACCCGAGCTTTAGAAAAATATGCCAGTAAGCAATCAACCAACCCAGCAGAGGTGCTAGTGATGAGAAAAGGGAAGAAAATGCTGATTCCATTCAGCTACTTGGGAATGCGTTGTTCACTGTCTGGGTGAATCCCTGCATGACTGTTTGCCAAAGGGGCATGAGCGCAGGTGACCTTTGAGAGACCTTAATTTTTTTTTTTCATGGTTGCCTCTTCTCTTCCAGAATGGGAATGTGCTCTGCAGCCGAGTCAGATGTCCAAGCCTCCATTGCCTGTCCCCTGTGCATATCCCTCATCTGTGCTGCCCGCGCTGCCCAGGTAAACCAGATCGCCTCTTTCTTTCCCAGCTGCGGCTCTCCTTCCTCCCACTTCCCCCCAACCCACTCCATCTGCCTAATTCCCCAGAAGGGAAACTTCCAGACAGAAATAACAATAGGACACTTTTAGGCAGCCCACGCTGGCCCCTAAATACTGTTTATAGCCCAAGCGGGGCACATTCTAGGCTCTAATAAGTTATTGGGTACCCAGTAACAGATTTTCATTGGGCTTTTAATCATGTGAAGGTGGATGTCAGTTGGGGGAAGGGAATTGTGGCCCAGAGAGTTTGTGCCATAAACAGCCTCTTCCTGCCATGGGCACCAGGCACGTGTCTTAAGCAATTAGTGCTGGGATTGCATAAATCAAAGGAGCTGAACCGGCGAGGTTTATGACAGTATAAAGCTGCCTGCCCACTGAATTGTCACCTCCTCCAGACTGCACAGTTATTATGTACACATTGTTAAGAGCAAATCTAAGGGGAAGGCGGGCAGAGACTTTTTCACAAGGCTGTTAGGACGTCTGCTTTGAGGGTTTGTGGCTAGGGTGTTTGTCTGAGGCAGGGGCTCACTCGGTGACATTTTGTTCACGTCTCACTGGGGCCTGGCTCCCACACCAGGGGCATACAAGCGTGGAATGATGAAGAGAATGCCTGTGGGCTGGACAGCAGTCCTAGGAAAAGCTAAGTGACTGCCTCAGGATCTAGGCAGTAGAAGCCTCGTAGTCTTGTAAGCTGATCCTGTTTCCCTCTAGGATGGAGGTTCTGGAGTCGGAGTCCATGGGTGGGCTTTATGGGGTCAGTGAACCCTTTAAAATTGTTTTGTTTTTGGTGTAACTATGTATACATGTAAATTCCTTTAGAGAGGATCCATAGCTTTATTGGTATTTGTAAAGGGGTGTACATGACCCTAAAAACATGAAGAACCACTATTCTAGGGCATAGGTGGTGCTTTTTTTAAGTAGTAAGGAAACTTCAGAACTTAGAAGAGAGAAACCAAAAGTGTCCAGGCAGCAATGGTAGGAATGGGGCTAAGAATACGGTTCAGTGAAAATTCAGTTAACATTTCAGTTATAGGAATGGAGGTGTTTAATGGAGAAGAAGCCCCCAAACCATTTTGATCACTACCTTTGTGAACTATACTTTCTTGCATCAGTAAAGACACTCTGGTGAACACCGGGGAGTCTTTCCCAGATGGCAGAAGATCATGTCATGTCACACGTTTATCATTTTGAATATTGGTGATGATAATATATGCTTCAAGGTGTGAGAGACTGACTTGGCGTAAGATCGACCTCAAAGTTGGCTTTTGGAATAAATCCCCAAATGAGGCCTACTATTTTTATATGCATTTCTTTGCTTCTTCTACTTAAACTGGATTACGAAGGAAGGATTTGGTAGATGGGAGAAAAATTTCTGGTTAAAAAGGCCAATCTGGAGATTTTTTTCCACATCTTTTCCCCCGGAGGTCTCCAAAAGTGGTTTAATGCCATAGGAATTTATCTAAACTATGTAGACATTGTTCGTCCCTGGGAAGGAAGTTGAGGCATGACCCAGACATGAAGCACAGCGTAGAAAAGCGTAGAGTGCAATATGGCTGTCATCTACCCCAGCAACAGAATAGGAAACAAGTACTGAGAAAAAGGGAAAGTATAAGCCAGCAGTTCCTTTGAGTGAAAAAGAAAGTGATAAAGGAACTGAGATCATAAATAGCAGAAAAGAGAAAATTGTCTTTAAGACTTAAAAAGCCCATTTTATGGAGTATAGAAATAAGCCGTTAATTTTCTCTTCCTTCTTGTCCTTGCAGGTCACTTCCTTGTGAGTTCATTTTCCTTCTTGTTAACTATGACCTTTACCAGTTCTTTCTGTGAGCAGTGGTACCAAAGTTCCCTAATCCTTATATGCAAAAATGTCTTTATTCTGTCCTCATCCTTGAGTGATAATTTGGCTGGGCATAAAATTATAGGTGCATGCTTGTTTTCCCTTAGCACTTAGAAGAAACTAACAAATAGTCTGTGGACTTCCTCCGTTTGTGGATAGGAAATCTACTGTTTGATTATAGTTCTTTTGTAGGTAACTTGTTTTCTCCTTCTTCTAGCTTTTAAGATTTCCTCTTTTTCTTTGGTGCACATGATGAAGTGTATCGATGTGTGATTTATTTTCGTTTAGCCTGCCCAGTACATGATTTTTTTCAGCCAAAGGACTCAAATTTTTCTTCAGTTTTACTCACTGTTTTTCTGAAAATTACATCTTACCTTCTTTTTTCTTCATTCTCAAAGTTGCCTTTGGCATATGTTTTTGCAGATCACTTAATTTATCTTCTGTCTCCCTGGTTTTTTTTTAAGATCGGTTTATTTTAGAAAGAGAGAGAGGGGGGGAGCATGGCAGGGAGGGGCAGAGGGAGAAGAGAAACTTAAGCAGACTCCGTGCTGAGCGTGGAGCTTGATACGGGGCTTGATCTCATGACCCTGAGATCATGACCTGAGCTGAAACCAAGCATCAGATGCTTAAGTGGCTGCACCACGCAGGTGCCCCTATCCTCCGTGTCTCTTAATGCCTCCTTTATTTTTTCCATCTTGGTACACTCCCTGTAATGATATATTACTTCAGTTCTGTCCTCCAATTCATGAATTCTTTCTCGTGCCTCCTATTTAGGTCATCTGTTTGGTTCTGTTTGTTCTTTTATTTTCAATAACTGTATTTCCTCCCAAGTTTTTGGATTACATTTTAAAGTATCTACATATCGCTGTTTTATAAGCTTGTGTTTCTTGGGATCTTATTATTTTCTTTATTTCTTTAAGGTATTGAAGTATTTATTTAGAGTCCATTTTAGACTGTTTCAATGTCTATATATTTTTCAGGTGTGAATTCTCACTTCTACTGGTTTCTTGACAGCTTTTCTTGGTTCTGAGTTTTCCCTTGTTTTCTAAAATCTTTGTTTAAAAGCTCATTGTCTGTGTGTAGGGGGGTTTCTCTTGCATATGCCCTTCCTTCCTGGGGAAAATGTTGTTCCAGGCCATGCAGGTCACTTCACTCTTAACCGGGTCATATACTAGTGTCTCAGCTTGGGCTCCCTCATGTCTGGATGGTCGATTTCTACCTCTGTTTTCTTGTACGGTGCTAGTCCCTGATAATGATCTTGGACTGGGACCTCAGCTGCAGCTGCCTACCTTGGGCAAGCAGTCCGTTTGAGGGCGGGAACCACCTCAGGTGGGCAGAGCTATGTCAGCCCCTGTTTACGTGTGAGGAGTGTGGCCCTAGTCGCCACCTTTACATGAGAAGCCACTCAGAGGCCATAGTTCTTGCCTGGCTGTCTGCATCCAGTCCCAGGCGCCAGTGGTGGACCATATATGGCTTTTGGCCCCCATTTATCGCTATACTTTTCCTTCTGTGTTTTATTCCTCAAGGAGTCTCCTTTTGCTTCTGAGCCTGATTTTGGCAGTTTTAAAGTCGTATTTATTTATTTACTCACTCACCCATGTGTTTATTTATATCTTTTTTATATAACTGAGTTTTCCATTTCATCCCTCACTCGTTGGTGGGAAAAGAGCAGGGAGTTCTCACATGTGCTCCCCCTGCCATATTGAACTGGAATGCAGACCAGCTATTCTTTCTGTTGAAGAGAAAACAAGAGTAAACAGGTTTAAACCTTCAACCGTAGCAGAGAAGAATGGAGTTTGGTAAAAGGATGAACTTTGGGACACAGTGGCTGTTCAGTCCTAGTATCAAGGACTAAAGAGAATTTTAGTCTCCGTACGGCATATTTCTGTAAGTAAAAACGTACCCTCCCATCTGAGATAGAGTTGTCACAGTTCTGCTCTGAGACCGGGCAATGGCTATGATGACGCCTCTGTATTCCTTCCACCCCAGTGGTTATTAGGCATGAGGAAACCCATGCCTTCAGGGCCACCGGAATGTTTGGTCAAAGGAAGGGGCTCTGATTTTCTGTCTTAACCCAATGGAAGGCACCATGATGAAAATGTCCTCATTTAAAAATAGGAGACTTATAGCCAAGACGATGAGAGGCTTCTGTATCAAAAAGAAAAAACAAACAAGGAAGCCATATACCCAAGGTGTGGGCTCTAGATACTTTCCTATAGCAGTGTTGACTTCAGGGAGCATTCACGTGGATAGAGATTGATTCAGTGAGAGGATCCTGTGGGACATGCCATTGGCGGAGACAGAGGAGCCATGACCCCCCATTTACTTCTGTGTTTCCCCTGTTTCTTGCTCTCTAAACTCCCCACCCCGGAAACTTCCAAAGTTTCCACTCGTATTGGAGGTGGTCTCCTGCAACTCCTGCTGAACCGTGGCAATCAAAATTTGCAGACTGCTTTTCCAGAATTACCAGAGAGAAATCCATACTGATTCCCATTAAGAGAAAATGAAAATTTATTCATCAGTACTTCCTCAAGTGTCCATGGCAGAGGTCACGTCTTGGTCCCATACGACAGGGTGCTCTACAGAGCCCAAAGAGGCTGGTGCTACGTGGAGGTTAGAACATTCTTAATGGCAAAGTCAAGACTGCACAGAAGTCAGAAGGGTCACTAAATCCATCCCGGTCTATGAGCAGGACTCTCTATAGTTGTGATAATGGGAGATTTATAGGAATGAAATTCCGTATCTTCTCTTTTGGGGAAGTGGAGTGGTAAAGAGGGGAGGAGAAGACTCATAGTGACCAGGAGCCTAAATCATGATGTTACCTAAGATTTTTTTTTAAGTAGGCTCCACACCCAGCATGGAACCCAACATGGGGCTCAAACTCATGACCTTGAGATCAAGACCTGAGCTGAAATCAAGAGTCGGATGCCCAGCCGACCGAGCCAACTAGGTGCCCCTACCTAAGATTTTTTTAATGGCCATTCTTAATGAATTTGCTACTCAGAATTCACAAATTTGTGTTCCCTTGGGGGGGTATTCTGGCATTCTTGGATCATTAAAGAGCTATTATAAAATTGCCAAAATATCTGATGTGATCTCTTACCAGCAACCCAATCTACAGCATTTCCTTTTGGCTAGGTGTGAACAAATTTAGTTCTATGAAATGGTCTTAAGGGATAGTGATTGTGTGGTTTTGCCAAGAGGCACCCCTCACCACAGTCTTTTAAATTCAAGGGAGGTTAAAGAAATGACCTCTCCAGTGAGGCACCCTAGTCTGTGTGTTCCTGTAAGGAGAAGCTAGAAGTTCAATGCCATTTGTCTCTTGATAGTAATTGGGTTGGGAGCTAGCTGGCATATACACACATTTCTGCTCTAATACGATATATGCATTTCTTCATTTTAAAGAAATTTTTTGTAAGTTTTTATTAAAATTCCAGTTAGTTAACACATGGTGTAATATTAGTTTCAGGTGTAGAATTGAGCGGTTCAACACTTCCATACAACACCCAATGGTCATCACAACAAGTGCCCTCCTTCATCCTCACCACCTGTTTCACCCATCCCCCCACCCACCTCCCCTCTGGTGACCACCAGTTTGTCCCTAGAGTTAAGAGTCTGTTTCTTGGTCTTCCTCTCTTCCCTTCCCTGCCATGTTTGTTTTGTTTCTTAAATTCCACATATGAGTGAAATCATATGGTATTTGTCTTTCTCTGACTAACTTATTTTGCTTAGCATAATATTCTCTAGCTCCATCCACATTGTTGCAAATGGAAAGATTTCATTTTTTTTATGGCCGAGTAATAGTCCATGATATATATATATATGTATATATATCCCATCCCTTCTTTATCCATCCATCAGTTGATGGCCATTTGGGCTCTTTCTGTAGTTCAGCTATTGTTGATAGTGCGGCTATAAACATCAGGGTGTATGTATCCCTTCAGATCTGTATTTTTGCATCCTTTGGGTAAATACCTAGTAGTGCAATTGCTGGATGATAGGGTAGTTCTATTTTTAGCTTTTTGAGGAACCTTCATACTGTTTTCCAGAGTGGCTGCGATATATTCATTTCTGAAAATCCTCATATTCTGCAAAATTATACACTGAAAAATAACAAGGCTTAAGGAACAAACAAAATTGGAGAACATAACTGGAAACTTAACATAATTTTGTAACCAGAGGACTAACAAAAGAACTATACTAATAAAGGGGCATTTGGGTGACTGAGTCAGTTAAGCATCTGCCTTCAGCTCAGGTCATGGTCCCAAGGTCCTGGGATGAAGTCCTGAGTCAGGCTCCCTGCTCAGTGGGGAGCCTGCTTCTCCCTCTGCCCCAACCCCCCACTCGTGCTCTCTCTCACTCTGCACTCTCTCTCTAAAATAAATAATAAATAAAATCTTTTTTAAAAAGAACTATACTAATAAAGGACTAGCCTGATTTAAATAAAAGAAAATTACAGTAAGTATAGACTTCACCTTTTAAAATAGTGACACTAGCTTGAGGGAAGAGGGACTAGGGAAGGGTTGAAGCTGCTGAGTTGTAGAGACAAGAGGAAAATGCCCAGAGATCAGAGAGAATCGTGTTATAAGCACTTACAAGGCAGAGCATATGGCCAAACCGAGCCAAGACGGAGAATGTGGGGTGAATGGGAATTGGAGAGACTACTGTATTTTTTCATGGTTTGCTGATTTCAGCTGTGTTCACATACTTGGCCTTCAGCTGCTGTCCCTCAATGGTGCAATGTATTAATGTGCTAGGAAAACTCATGCAAGAACCAATGCAGTTTCTAATTTATGCCAAGAGCATTCTCTTTTCTACCACTCGCATCCAAACTAGTTAGCATTACACGAATCTATACCACAGTGGAAATAGCCTCTGTAAGATGAGGTAGATTTACGGCATTTAGCCTTTGACAGTTTCCAGTGACAGTTGCTGGT